AGATTGCTAAATAATTATTTGATCTATGTTTGATGTTCATCTCAAGATAAGACTTGTCTTCTTTAATATTTTTTGTATCAAATTTCTTCTGTATCTCACTCAACATTTAATCTAACTCTGCCTCTTTGAAATGTATAACTCTGCAATCATCAATATACAGTATTATATAAATCTTGTAAATAGAATAAAACAGAAATCCTTTATCATATTTTGAAATTCTGAATCTCAGTGATGTGAGATGCTCTGTCATCACAAAATATTAAACTCTTGTAGCTTACTTCATATTATATAAGCTCTGTTTAAAAAGATTCACCAGTTCTTCTCTTTCATATTTAATACTTGTAGATAATTATATATAGATCATTTTATCCTGTGACAGTATATTATTCAAAAATACTGACATGTAGTCAATTGACTTTGATTTCTAATCTTTTGCAGTTGATATAGTGAATAGAGAGCAACTTGTAAGCTCTGAGATAACTACAGCATAGAGCTTGAAGTAGTAAATACTCTGCTGCTGCAGAAATCCTCTAATCACTCAGCAGACTCTAAAATAAATTGTTTTATCTCTATTATTTAACTTATGATCAAATATTCATTTGTCTATCAATACATTCATCTCAGACATCTTTTCAATGATAATGTATGTATAAGAGGCTGAACCTCTAGATTCGCTCTGGCTGGCTGACTCAGCCTAGCCATCATTTGCACGTGCGCATGTGATCATGCTACGCGAGCTTGCTTAAGCTTGTGTTCTCATCTCATTCTTTTCTTCCCTTTCCCAAGCAATTCGTCCTTGTTATATAGGAGGACTAGCCTCTAGTTCTTAGAGCTTAACCCTCTACAGTATGTCTTCTTATTCTCAAATATTTTAACTTCTTTTCTTATTGTCTCAAGTCAGTGATTTCAATCTGAGCTCTTCTTTGCTTGTGTCAGATTATTTGAGCAATTCATAAACATACTCAGGACAAAATCTGTATTATTGATAGATATCTTAGATTTATTATTCTTGACTAGCTTTGTCTCATTGAGCAGATAGACTGAATCAATGACATTCTTCAGATCATCATTAATTAACATCTTCAGAATCTCAGATTTATCTTTTGCTAGTTGTTTTAACAAACAGTGACATCAGTCATTCAGAGAGTCAACAACATTTAATTTCTCTGATAGTTTGATGTCTTCTCTCATTATCTTAACAGCTTCACTCATAGTATTTGCAGAAATAAATTCTGTAATAAGATCTTCATCAAAAATAACATCTTTAGTAATATCTAATTTGCATTCTTTTAAGTCTCATATATGATATTGATGTAATTCTTAATAACTCATCAATTATTACTTCTTGTCATCTGTTCTGTCTGCAAGCTTATTTGTCACTTTTAGATTCTTCTTGTAAATCTTGCATTCTCACCTGCAGATTCAATGAGTTGATGATTAGACTTCTATTTAGACTTCAAAAGATATCAATGAACTATCATCTTTGCAATCAAAAATCTTTGTCAATATATAGAATGTATTTATCAATATTATAGCTGCCTGCATTGCTTCATCTCAAAGCTTTCTGATAAACTCATTATTAAATAGTAGACTTCTTGTCTTATTTATCATTAATCAGTTCATATGTTCAGCAGAGTCATTTGATTGAGATGTATTTGAAGTTGTCACTTTATACACTATCTTCTTATTCTTGCAAAATACTTTGAGATTATCACTTTTGAACTCTCTGTCATTATTCTAGTGCAGAGTCTCTATAGACTGTTGAGATGTTATCTCAATCATATCAATGAAGCTCATAAGTGCTGATGTTACCTTTGCTTTTATGACACTCAAAATAATTCATCTAAAGAAACTGACATCATCTGTAATTCTTATTCAGTATCTTGCATCTTCTTCAGTGAGTAGATTTTCTTCATCATATAGTGTTTTTTCTTCTTCTACAAGATTTACAAAAAATCTCATTACTGATTTGACAGCTCTGCTCATTGAAGTAAAGAATAAATAAGTTATTTTTGCTTGCATACCTGTCTTGCAGAATGAAAAAATTCTTGAATCTCTTATCTGCATCTTTAGTCTAGAATCTGCAGTCATTTTTGATATATTCACTGAGTTTATATGACTCAGCTTTTAATGTTACTATGTCATTGTATATTTCAAAGTCTTTATATCTTCCTTGAGCAACTTTATTAGAGAATTATCATTTGATTGCAAGATACATACAGGTTCAAAATCATCATTTGATATTGCACAATGAATCAAATCTCTTAATGCTGATGATTTCTCCATCACATAGATATTCTTTCATTCAAATGCACTGTGAAGCCTGTCATTTTGTCAGAAGACATCATCAAAATTGAATGATTATTAGTGTATGTTAATTGTTTAAAGGTATAATCTTTATGTATAAGTTTTCTGAGACTCATCAGATTGATCTTCAGGTTTGAAATATAATGAACATTATTCAGTTCAATATCTGATTTCTCAGTTGAGATGCACACTCTCTCTATATCTGCTACTGATATTGTAGATTCATCTGTTATCTTCAACATAATATTTATTTTTTAAAATATAATCTAAATAATATTTTTCAGAGATGTGGTATGAGCTTCTGATCTGAAGTCTAGAATTCATATATTCTCTATCACTTTATCACTGAAATAAATCATCTTTTATACAGAGAATACTTGCTTCACAATATTATAAACTGAAGTAGTACTGTCTTTATTCTTATTCTTATATTTATTTTTTTCTTTATAATCTATATAAAATATTTTTTTGAATATTTTATTTAATAGTCAGTCATGAGATATTTTGTCTTCTAACAGTAATAGTATGTTTTTTTCATATTGTTGCTATTCTGCTTGAACTTCTTATCTTTGTCTTTGTGTTTAATTATCAAATTCTTATTCTTACTTTTATTTTTTTTTTCATAAATCTTGAGTATTAGTTGCAGAATATTTTATATTTATCAAGACAATGTTCTGTTCAGTAGCTGATAGATGCAATAAAATATCTCAACACAATCTCATGAAATTTATTTCAATATTGCAGATGTTAATATCTTTTTCAGTATGATTCATTTTATCTCTGATAAATGATGTTTATTCAGCACTAATATCAGTTAATAAATGATCAAAAAGAATAAAATCTTTAATCTTATATCTCAAATGAATGTATTCAGTTCAAATAATGATCAGACATTCTATAAAAACTTTATCTAAGTTTTTTGTCTTAATTATCAAGCTAATCAGTTTCTTAAATAAATAGATACAGTAGATTGCAGATATCTTTAAGAAGTTCTCTTTTATAATTTTTTATAAAATATATACTGACAACTGATGATCTGAGAGTATTATAAAATAAAATCTTACTTATAAGAAGATTAAAGACAATATATAATTATAAAGTCATATATTTCTTTTAATTCAAAAATATTGCATATTCATATTGATATTATTCTTCAGGACAAATTATTTCTCATTAAAAATATCATTGATTTCAGATTGCTTAGCAATTAGTATCATCTCTTCTCTTCACATTAAATAGTTTATGAAATTAGCCAGAATGACAGATTTCTTGATATACTTTATTTGATCTCTAAGTTTAGTCAAGATCTTCATTATGACAGTAGCTTTGTTCTTTTTTTTATAGATAGTTTGCAAGATCTTCACTCATTTCATTGTCATCAGCATTGATAATGAGTGTCTCTTGCTAGCTCTCATTATTTCAACTTCTTACTGAAGTTTTGTAACTTTTAATCTCATCAGAATTTCTTCACTAACTCCTGACATCTAATCATTAGAATCAATTATATTTTCTGATATTTCATCAATCAGGTTTTTGTATGTGTTATTAGACTTGTCTGATTCCTTCAGAATTGTCTTGTCTATTTCAAATGCTCCAGAGACACTTCTACAGACTGTAATAAGTGTAGGCAGTGAACCTGCAGGCTCTAAAGTTCTATTCTCCAGGGTCCTATTCTTAGATCCTCAGTTTTGTCTTCTTTTTGGCATGTATTCTTCTGTCAAATCTGGCGTTCCACCTGAATGTAGATTGACCATCAATGTTGTCCAATTGTTGTTCACGTTTTTCATTGTTCATTCGTAGCTGTTCCTCACGTTGTTCGCAGTGAAAGACCTCAGAGAATTTAAGGGTCTCATAACCTCTTAGAGGACCATTATCAACCTTGTTACATAGTGTGACTCTAAGCGAGCTAGCTACAACTAATAAATATATAGGTGCACGTGACCTCGGGTAGCCGGGGAATCCTCCAACACTCAAGATGCCCTGCTCAACCATCCATTTTCATATTCAATTGATAATTTGGCTTTGGAAAGTTGTGGTCTTGGCTTTTACCCATCATAAAGAATAACAGCTACTTTATATGCAACCACCTTCACATCACTCGCTTACTGACATGAGGTGGAAGGCGTGAGCTCCAGTTCTGTAACGCACAGGAGGTGCTGGAGGCTATTGTCAATCACTGTTCTCCCACACAGAATGCCTGATGATACAGTTGCCGTCCATGGCAGAGATATCAACCATTCTTACGTTAGTTGATGTCGTAATTGTTGGCAAGTGCCCTCCTATCTCAGCCAGACACTCGGGGGAAAGAAATATAAAAACAATAAAAGGAGCCCCCCCCCAAAAAAAGGGGGGGGTGGTGGGGCACCCCCGTTGTTGGACGATATTAACTGGTGCTACCACCCTTCAGGAAATGGACCTGCTGCAATGATACTCTCCTACATCCTGCACGGCCACGTTCCATTTTACAAACCGGAGAAACCCCATCCAGATCCGTTACTCCATGCGAAGCTGAAGCAAAATCCTCAACTCCTTCACCTAGATATCGAGTATTTACAAGCCATTTGGGAGCCTCCCGCTTTTCATACTCTACTCAAGCACTTCCCATTAACGTTCTTCTTGATCCTCTAATCCGGCCGAATGGGGATGACGATGAAGGGACAGAAACAAGTCTCCAATGGCGGTACATGCCAGAAATGGCTACATCACACCTGGTTTTCGGAGATGTAGATCAACCTGGGGGACAATGGACGGACTGTCCAGAGGGCACAACTGCAGATGTTCGGTCCCTAATCTATGCTGGAATGCTCTCCCTACCAGGTTACAGCTTCTCTGAGCACCATGAACAAGTCCATGGCTGCTCTTTACCTCCCTTTACGAGGCCATCAAGACAGGCTGTTGCGGAATATCTGGCGGCATATTCCATATCCGTAGGAATATCCGGGTCAATTCGATGCAATGAGGAAATCCAGGGCATTGTTCGCACAGAGAATGGTTTCTATATTGGATCACATAACATCACCTGCAACAAACTAATCCTCGCATCTGGTGTGTTTGCCGAGAGCATACCTCCGACGCCATTGTTGCTACCCCTGCTTAGATTGCCATCTCCTTCCCCAGTGCTATCACGTCCTGCACCTCTCCTGGTCGTCGGGTCCGGGTTTTCCGCGGCAGATGTTATAATATCATCCCATCCAAACCAAAAAATACTGCATGTTTTCAAATGGGACCCAGATACCAATCCATCGCCTCTGAGAAGTTGCCATCAGCAAGCCTAGCCAGAGTACGTGGCTATTACAGACTCATGAAACGAGCATTTGTACAGTTGAATCAGAATGGCTCATCACGGTCCCCGAAACTTGTAGGTGGAACTTCCATCCCGTTTCTCGAAGGCAGAAATTGGGAAGACGATTATGAGGGCATTCCGAACACGATAATCACAGATGTTGTATTGGATTATGAGACAGCACTGGTAGCATTCCGATGCCAGGCTGGGATCACCTTTTCTCGCAAAGTGAGTGGGTTGGCATATGTGGTTGGCCGACAGAGCACATTGAGCTACCTCAGCAACAATTTGCTAGCTGAAATATTCGGAAAGCAGTCACTAAAGGAATGCGAACGAATATCGAGGAAAAGAATGCGTGCACGGGCCTTGGAGGGTTTAGAGGTGACAAACAACGTATTTATCATTGGCAGTTTAACTGGAGACTCGCTGATCAGGTTCGCCTATGGCGGCTGCATCTATGCCGCTGGAAGGCTCATACAAACGGACTTAAATATCCAGATTGAAGAGGAATGTTCGCAAAATTCCGGCCCGAAAACAGCAGATAGCGAACAAAGGATAATTCAAAGTGGCAGAGGTGAACGTAACCATATAGTACTTAACGCAAATGAATCGGAACTGCAAAAACATGTCGAACGTGATTTGGCGGCAATTTGGGTTAAAAGTTGGTGGGATTCTATGTTTTCGTTGATTTTTCATTGATGGTTAGAATATTCCACGCGCATACATATCAATGAATATAGTTTTAAAATTGTGGCAAATACTTGCTCAAGCATTATTTGGGACCCATGAGCAGCAACGGTGAAGAAACACCTCTGTTTTTCAATGCAATCAAGTTAGAGAGCAGAGGATAAAATAAAATAATAAAATAAATAAATAAATAAATAAAGGGGAGGGGGGAAAGGATACTTCTTTTCAACCCATACGCTGAAGTTGGTCATTTGGCGGCCAACGGACCTGGGCGAAAAGTGAGGCATCTCTTGATGCTCTGTAGGAACTTTCGCGTGATTTCGTCACTCATGATATGTGCCTGTCCCTTGTCGCTCTCATGGAGTTTCTCTCGAGCGGATCTCTCGTGAATACCAACCATAGTAACACCAATAGGCCAAGCCCTGAACAATATAATTAGTGGGAGGGAAGTGAAAACGATGTGTAAACAGCAGGGGTTAGAAGGTTTTGAAGGAATTTGTACGACTGGAGCTACTTACGCCTTTCCAATGCTAAGTCGAAGATAGCCATCATTTGCGTCGACATAGCGTCTGTCCTGCGCATTGCGTACAATTTCCACCACTGGTTCAAGTATGCTCTCCTCCAAATCCCCCTTCTCGAACTTCCTGAATAGTGGTCGCATGTTCTCTCGGGACTGCACCATGGCATTATAAGCTTGCTTACCCTGGTAGCTCTGTTTGACAGCTGCATCTCTTTTCGCCAAGGCAATTTCCCATTCCTTTAGAATCATTGTGAAGTAAGATGCCAGTTGTCGGAAGACGAATTTGCGACCTTCGTCATCTTTTGGCAGTTTAGACGGAACTTTCATTTCCGCCTCGGGAACAAGAACAAGGGTCGTGGGGATTGGGCCTTCTGAAGCCTGAGGTTGGGGAGTGAGAGATCGTTGAACAAGTCGTCGATAGCGCTTTACACGAGCTTTGTGACCTTCTCCAAAGAGCCGTGCAGGCTCTCCTGCAGCTCTCAGCTTGTCGATTACCTCATTTTCATTGGGGTCTCTCTCGTGGTCTTCCAAAGGTGTTATATTTTTCGAATCAGTTGGACTCCCTTCGGGTATTTCAGGCAGGCCCAATCTCCTCCGCCGCGCTCTCTCCTTGGCTTCCGCTTCTGCTTCTCTCTTCCGCCTTGATTCCTCCGCCAATCGTCGTCTCTTCTCTTCCCTCTCTCTTGTCTTGTGCTCCTCCGCCTCATCCAACTTACGCTTCAGCTCAGCACGTTGTTCACGTTCTTTGCGTAGCTTCTCTTGTTCAGCGTTGTATGCGGCCAATCTAGCGGCTTCGAGTTCCGACCGTTTCACGTACTGTTTTCCGGAGCCCGAGGAAGGGGTGGAGGTTTGAGGTGACTTGGCCTTGGATATTTCCTTGGCCATCAGAGTAGCAAAATCCATGGCTGAGGACAAGAAGATGCAAACCAAATGAAGCTGTATCAAGATAAAGGAAAATCCAAATCTCACTCGATTTGAGGGGATGAAATTGTTAAAGCAAAATTAAGGGTTGACTATTCGTGGTTAATGAAGCGTTGCCATGTAACTACTTACTCAACATCGTATAAACACCCGCTAGTTATGCGATAATACGTAATACGAAAATATAACAGTTGGGTATCCACTCGTTCGTAAGTTCTTGCTCAATTAGCGTGATTTCAATTAGTGTATATTATATGGTTTCTCATTGAATAAGGAAGGTAACTTTGGTATTAGTGTGTATTAAGGTAATTTATAAAGCACTAATTAAAGATTTGTGTCATTACTGCTAGATGGAGTAATCTCATGAAATTCATCCCAACATCAAGTTTTCAAACGGAGAGACATATTTTGACATGCTGAGCAACCAGAATATGATCTTAATGTCTGTTTATTTTGTTGCTGATTTAGCTTCCATTTATACTGACATGAGGCACAAACTGATTGCTTTGATAAAACAATCTATTGATAATTTAAATCAAAATTCAATTATTGAGATGAAAGATAATCATGAATTTTAGATATGAATTCAAAAAGTTGTTGATGAAGTCATTCATGAAAGCTTATATAAGAATGCAGATTCTTTTTTGGAACACTCTGTTGTTTGCTTTTTATATATATATTGAAGTCTATAAATATTATGTCAGACCTATCCGCCTTCTTATGTAATTCACACTGTATATAACTTCTATGTAGCTAGTGATCACTATATAATCAATCAAGCAATTTATCCTTCACAGGTTATGAGACCCATTTTGCACAAATAACTGCCAATTCAGGGAATTCTTGTCAAATATAGTGTATATTAATTGCTGCTCACTTCATTTAATATAATATTGTCTTATTTTATATCAATTGATTGATTTGATGTGCTCTTATATTATTATTTTTTTCTTTCTATATTTAATCTATTTACTTAGTAAGTGAAAGAAAAATCTGCAACTCAATAATTTTTCAGTGACTAATCACACAAGAATGTGTCAATCCACTCAATCAAGCTTATAGGCAAGAATCTCACTGAATAAGATTACTCTATTATAAAGAAGATTAATATAATATGATAAAACATATAATGACTTGCTTACAGTTATGATTGAGTCAATTCAGTCAATCTGATCAATCTGAAAATGATCAAAGAGTTCTGAGCTCACTGACCCTCTCAGAGGCATTCAATAGTTTCAATATTGAATCTTTCAAAACATCTGATCAGCAAGCTGGGCTGATTACAGCCTTTATAATAATGAGGTTAGTCTGCTTACATCATATTGAATATGCTGATTCAACTCCTTCAGAAGATGAGGTGAAGACATCTGTAATGATCTCTAACTCACTGCCAGCAACTAACTCTGAAGAATTGCAACTGAGGAGATTGGATCTTGAACATCAAAAGATTGATTTAGAACTTCAAAAAGAGAGGTGCAAAGAATTACAGCTTCAACTTCAATTGAAGAGACTCTGTGCTCAGAATGACAAAGTCATGATGCTCACAAATTCATCAGTGGGTCAATCATTAGCATGGGATCTGAACTTGAGGTCTTGAATGCAATATAATCTCTATGACCTGGATAGCTGCATCAGCAAGGTGATCAGCCAGTTCAAACAGGATACTAAATATGCCATCAAGTCAAACACTCTGGTCAGATCTTTAAATTACCTCTCCTGGCATGTGAATATGAAGGCCAAGCTAATTGATGCTCAATGCTGGGTTATATTGAAGGACAAGCAAGTCAAAAGTCCTGATGAGGACCTTGAATAGGTTTTTTTTTGGAAGGCCAAAAATTGCTGACTTTACATATTCATTTTGAATGCAATGGCAGCCAGCATTAGACTCTGTTTTAATAAATATGATGAGAGCAGAATTACTTATTTTCTTTGATACACAGTTGAGGAGGAGTTTTTCATCCTGAGAACACAGCTCTGTAGGGAAATAGTACTAATGTTTACATCAATGAGTGGTGTCTAAGTCACTGACATACATATATTTTTCAATAAGTTCAATGATGTTATTATGAAATTGGAAATACTTGATATTTTACTGTCAAATGACATGGTATTTCACATGTTCTATTCTGCACTTCTCAATATATGGTGAAACTACATGTAAAAGAAAATTGAAGAGGTATAAAAGTTCAAATCAAAGTCTGTCATGTTGAATGTTCAGTCAATTATGAAGGAAATACACTCTCAATTGAATCTTTTCAAAGAGGTCAAGAAGGCTGCTCAGGCAGCTAATTCTTCAGTTAATATGGTTTAGGCCAAAACCACAGCTGCAGGTTCCAATAATAGCAGAAATATCTAAAATATTTTGATCTGTGAGGGTTGACCCAGGGGATGTGAAGACTATTAAATGAGTGAACATTTAAATTTCAACCTCTTAATCTGCCTGGAATGTGAGCATCATCATGGCAGACTCTGCTGAGCAGCCAATCCAGATAGCATCTCTGAAGAATGAAAAATCACCAACACAGTGAGAATAGAGAAATATAATAATAAGAAGAATAATGAGGGCAAAAAGACTCTGTTAACTGCAAATGACAGCTCTAAAATATTCCAAATGGTAAATCTAGTGCAGGTTATTAAGGTGTCTATGTACTCTGCTGAACCAATTGCCAACTCACTCATCATATGAGATAGCAGAGCTGAATGTCATATTGTAAGTGATCAATCATGATTTTCCTGAATAACAGAGATTAGTGGCTCTATGATTCAAGTGATCAATAAGACTACTTTGAAGGTTCAAGGGATTGAGGTCGCCTCCATCCCAGTCAGGGAAAGATTAATTGAATTTAATCATGTCTATTTGATGCCATACTTATCTGCCAACCTCATATCTGCTGGTCTATTGGAGCATCAGAGCTATATTTACTGTAATCTGCAGGTGAATGCTGAAAATTACTTTGAGATAATAGTATCTACAGGAAATGATACCTTCTATGTGAATTTGAATTCCAATAATATATATGTTCTATCTGGCATCTTCTCTATGTTCAGAGGTATTATGAATGATCTAGAACTTGAACCACTGATATACTTGACAGTCTCAAAGCCCAGGGTGATATCAACAGATTATGATCTAAATGCTGCATCACTGAGTCTTTTCAACTGCAATGATGTGGAGCAGCTAATTAACCTGAAGGATTCAGATACTAATATCTTCATTTTGTCCCTATCAATTCAACTACCTGCTATTATGCTGAAGCAGCTACTGATTGATGAGTGACATCAGTAATTGGGCTATATTGATGAGAAGAACCTAATTAAAATGTTATAAAAGTTCTGTTTTGAAATCATTATCATCAGTCTGAAGAAGCTCTCATTCTGTACTATGTGTATTAAAGCCAAGCATAAATATGCAAGTTATACAAATACCCTGCTACACCTATACTGTGCCAATCACAAAGGTCTTAAGATCTGGGTAGACCTATTTAGAGGTGGAGAAACACTTGATAATGAAGAAGATACACCATTTTATGCAGGTAAGAAGCTCATGATGATGATCACTGACAATGTCACACAAATGCAGTAGACTTTTCTATTGAAGTATTATAATGAGGCTCTAAAATATATACAGATCTTCAATCAATTTATGAAGAATCTGCTCAATCATGATGTTGTGATTATTCACTCTGACTGCAGTGAGTTGAATTCAAATGCTGCAGCTGCCTATATGATGAGTGAGAATATTAAATAAAAATCAATCTCATCTCATACTTTGCAACAAGATAGTGTGTTCAAATGTTTTATTGACCTGATTATTGAAAAAGTCTGAATGTTATTAATAGATTCCTCCTCCCCTCCTAAGATGTGGGGTGAGGCGGTAATTGTGATAACTGAAATACTTAATCTTATGCCAACATCAGTCAAACTCTATAACAGTGTAAAGGATTCAGATCCAAAGCTGGTTACTTCATATGAACCTTGGCTCAGGGCCCTGCCCTCTGCATATGGAATTCACTGATGAGGGTGCAAGGCTTATTTAAAAATAGTGCTCAAGCTGAATATAAAGATGGCCTTGCAATCACAGAAGCTTATATTTACAGACTATGATGGCTTTACTAATTATAGATTAGTCAATCCTTCTAATGATCATCTTTACATGTTAAAAGATGTGATATTTCAAGAAGATCTTCATTTGATGGATTCTCTGGCTCTGCCTGAGCAAGGTATCAAGAACCTGCCTTCTGCCATTCACATGGCTGCAGTTGCAATCCCCTTCACTCAATATGATTTATCAACAGACAATTTTATAGTAGATAAGGAGTTTTTATCTGCCCCTTCAGTAATTCTACACTCTACAAATAATTAGTAGATAGACTATGAGATTACTGTGTGAATTCTAACATTTTTGATGTGAAATACTACTGCCCTCTTAGGGTCTGTTTTTGAAATGGAAGATCCTTCAATGCTCACTAAGAATATTACTTCAGTGAGGAAGGCCTCAATGAGAGATTTTACTGACAATTTGACTGATGTCCCTGTAGATTCTGAGATCACTGACTTGCCAGTTTCAAAGAATCTCACCTGGGCTCAGGTGTCTGCAGATTGGAAATATTACTTCCATGTCTGCATTAAGGAGATTAACCACCTTAAGTAGATTAATGCATAGCAGCTAGTTGAAAGGACCTCAGATATGGTGATTCTACATGATTAATGAGTGTTTGATAAAAAGATTAATAATATAGGTAGAATCAAATGATATAAGATCTGCTGAGTAGTCTGCAGCAATTATCAAGAAAAGAGTGTCAACTATTTGAAGATATTCACATCAGTTGTATTGGCCTCCACCTCCTGAGCACTTATGACAATCTTGATATTTTGAGAATAGCACATTCTGCAGATTGACATGATTACAATGTTCTTAAATGCTCAGCTTTCCACTAATGAACATATATATATGCATCAACCTGCCAGGTTCTGTGAGAGATGTGGTGATCTGGTATGTAAATTGATGCAGAGACTATATGGCCTGAAGCAAGCAGCACTATTATGATATGAGAAGCTATGAAAAATACTATTGAAAACAGACTTCTGTGTCAGTTCTCATGACACTGATTTTTTCATAAATGATATCTGCAAGGTCTATATAACTATCTATGTAGATGATATTCACTTATATAGTCTGAATATATCAGATATTGAATAGACAAAAGCTCAAATCACTACTAATTATAAGATTAAGAATGTGAGTAAATTGAATCAGTATTTGAGAATGAAGATTGATCAGAATGCTGAATCTTTATCACTGTCCCAGCTACTGTTCATAAAGAACCTGCTTGAGGAATTCTCAATAAATGACTGCCACTCAACATTCTCTCCTATGGAGAAGAATGTTGATTTCATAAGTGATAATGAAGAATCAATTGCTTATACAGTGGAATTTACATTACATTCTTATCAATCAGAGGTTGACTCTCTGCAATATCTCACTGCTAACATACATCTTAATATAAGCTTCACTGCTAGCTTCCTAAAAAGATTCAGCTCCTGCATTACCTTAAAGAACTGAGTGGCATTCAAGTAAATTCTTAAATATTTACAAAGCATGCCTGACATAGGTGTGTTCTACTGAAAACATATAGATATAGAATCTATGGCATTCACTGATGCTGATTGAGTGGGCTGTGATTCAGGTTCCTACTTCATCATCAGATATGTCATTTATATAGCAGGAGATTCTGTTGCTTGGTAAAGCAGGAAGCAGACAGATGTTTTGAAATCATCTACTGAGGTCAAATATATTGTATCCTCAGAGACTGCTTATAAGCTTGTCTGCCTCTGGGAATTGCTGGAGGATACCAGCTTCATGCTGTCCCAGCTCAATAATTTTGATAATAATGACAGCCTGATCAAATCACCAGCCAATAAGCTAATATATACAATTTAAGTGAATAATAAATCAGTGATTGAACTGGTCAAAAGTGAGGCTATTCCATGTCAATTTAAGCATATAGAGGTCTACTTCTATACTCTTCAGAATCTTGTCTGCAAGAATAAAATCTTGATTAATTATATCCTGTTCACTGAGAACGCAGCAGACAGGCTGATCAAGCTACTTGAGATGACTAGATACACCCTATAGCAGCAGATATTAGAAGATACAGTAAGCAAGCAGAAATGATTATATGAAGAAAATGACTGATTTTTCAACAATAAGAGTTTTCCAGTCAAATTATGTACTAATACCTAGCTACAGGTTATTTTTTGTATGTAATTTTGAGTATAGTTATATCAGTGAGTGGGGGTGTCAGATTTATCCACCTTCTTATGTAATCTGCATTGTATATAACTTTCGCGTAGCTAGCAATCGCTACATAATCAATCAAGCAATCTATCCTTAACATATTAACTGCTGTAGAATCAGTAAGTCAGTAGGAAAAAAAAAGTTAAATTTAATAGATGATTTAATGGCTAGTATATGTTATATGATATTGATTTGCTAGATTCACTTTATTTATAGTATGACTATAATCATCTATAATGATAGAAATTTTTAAACTCTTTTGTGAATGATCTTTAAAAATCTTTTATATAATTTTAGCA